AAGCAAGGCCAAAAATAAAAACTTGAGAGAGTTTCTAATGCAAACTACTCTTTTGAGTCTTTTCATCATTTATAGTATAGTCTAGACGCATCGTTGTCTTGTTGTAGTTTTAATTTTTTTTCAATTTCCCAAAGAGTCACAAACAATTTCCTTTCAGCCTCGTAAATATGTGGCAAGTTGGCAACAATATACATCTATAAATAATAATTTAATGAAGATAAATAAATACCGGGCCGCTCTGTTTGACGATATATATATTTATAGATGTATATAGTCACATATTTATAGATGTATATAGTCACAGCCTCTTGACGAGTCAGTAGAACACCGACAAAACAGTCTGTCACAGCCCCTTGTTTGCTGTTCTCTTCTCCCTCCCTCTATGCCTGCAGTTTACCGCCCAGTTCTGTGGGACTATATATAGTCAAAGTTGTCAAACAGGTTAGAGTCACTGAGAACTTGCCTATGAGCTCTATAGACAGGAAGGGAGCACGTCCCCCCCCCCCCCCCCCCCAAAAAAAAAAAAAAAAAAAAAAAAAAGGAAGGGAGCATGTTTCGGTCGGGAGCAAAGCTGTATGAAAAACAGTTGTTGGAAAAGGAAAGCCACTCAAACAATTAACTTCTAGACTTCTAGTTTCAATCCAGAACGCGTCTCGCTGGACGAAATTCCCATGCAACAATTTCCTTTCAACAAAGATCATATCACCCTTTTCCATAGACGCTCCCATGCAAAACGATTGCAGCGAAGAATTGACTTTCAAGTTTTCAACATAAGACTTCGTTCACGGGTAAGGTAGAAAGAATCGAGTATGATCCAAATCCTCCTTTCTCCTGGATTGCCCTAGTACGCTAACGCTGGTACTCTGGAACTGGACCTGCCCAACCCCAACATCAAATAGCATCTACAAGATTTAGAACCGCCCTGTAAACCGTAGGCAGAGAGGGAAGGAGAAAAGAGGAAAACAAACGAGGGGCTGTGACAAACTGTTTCGTCGGAGTTTCGCAAACTGTTTCATCGAAGTTTCACCAACTTGTCAGGAGGCTGAACCCTCAACAGTCTGCAGAATCCCCTAACTGATTACACTGTAAGTGATAATCCACCTTAACCCAGTTGTGGTTAAGCATCAACGACTGCCCCACAACTGATACCCCTCTGAGGAGGTGGGGACCACCAACCACTGCCCTCAAGGTACCTGTGACGAAAATCAAAGCAGACTATCACTCGCCCACACCAGATGGAAAACTATACAGACTGTTGGTTCACATATATATAATTATATTACATATTCGTTGGAAGGAAAGAGAGAAACACCTACCCACGTGCTCCGACTTCTCCCAGCATAGGCTGTGTGCACGACCTCCAGAGGCCGTCACGTCGGCAATAAACCTGTCTATGTACTCTGCAGGCGCAAGATCATCATCCTTGGAGTAAATCACCAGCATGGGACCAATCACCTAGAAACCATCATGTTAATTCCAACCGGCCCCATCATTACCATCCACCCAAACCCC